CTTGTTTGCCTTGAATCAATTTGAATGTGCCAGTGCCATCTTTGAATACATGCATATGCTACACTTTCCAGTTTACTGGTGATGATCTCCATGAGAAGAAGGACGGAATGCAAACTGTTGCTACAACTCCAATTTAGCAGCAGCGTGACTTTACCTTGTCATTTCACAGCACATATGGTAAGTCTGATACATTGTGGTGGTTATTTTACAGTTACAGTAGCTGTATCATTCCATTGGGAACATTTTGTCCAGTATAAGTTTTAATTGTATTTCTCATGGCTATAATTTAAAAAGCTGATTAGCAGAACCAACAATAGCATTGATCTGATTTTGTCATTCCTTTCTACTATGATCACTATTCTTGGTCTCATTTTACCTTTTTAGCTATAGATTTCCAAGTTAGTAATCTGTTACATTTTCATCAATGAAATCGAACACTGCAAATTTTTCAAAACAGTGACTTGGTTATATATATTTAGCAAATTGTTTGCATTTCCCTGAGTGATAGGCTGTCTGGATAGGTTCCACCTGATTTCAATTTTCTAAATATTTCCTCCTTAAATTTGGACCGAATTTCTATATGTAGTGCCACAACAATAAGTTTGTTTTGAATTTTTCCTCTTGGTTATTATTTGATCTTATTCCACTGTTTTAATATATATATATTTATCAACTCCAGACAGTAAACATACTGCGTACAAACATGAATGAATCTAGTAATCCTGTCTCCCATTTTCCCAAAAACAACTCTGTGAGGCAGATAGGTCTGAGAGAGAGAAAGAGCGCCTGGTCTAAAGTCACCCAGCCAGCTTTCATGTCTAAAGGAGGCCTAGAACTCACAGTCTTCTGGTTGATAGGCCAACATGTTAACACCAAACTGGCTCTCTATAAACGTACACTATTCTTTATTCAAAAATGGAGCTCTAATGGTTGCTTCTGTGCTCAAATGGTCTATCTGTTATTCTTATGTCTTTTGTTTCGTTTTCTTCTATAATTCCATAGATTAGCAAGTCTTCCAATGCCTCATTAAGTCCTTTTCTAAACTTGAAATATTCAGACATCTTCTTAAGTGCAACTGAATTCTTGCAACAGACTTTCTTTTAATTTGTGCTTATGAAACTTCAAAAACTACAATCAATAACAGTTTGGCATCCCCATTTCTGCATCACTGCTGCTAGTTCTGGAGAGCTGAACTGCTAGGATTTGTGGGTGGCAATTAAGCTTCTCAATGAATTGTGTGCTTTGTCTCCCATAATTCTCATTGAAACAGCTTTTTTTCCCTATTTGCCTCAAATAGCTGCTGAAGTCTCTCTGTATATAATGACCAGTCATCTGTGGTACTATGAAATACATCCATCTTTCCAATAAACACTCTCTCCTGCTGGGCTCTTTTTCCCTTTTGTCTTTATTCACTGTCACAAATTCAGCATTATTTTTGTTTGTCTATTTGTTTTTACTATTCTTTCTCTCTCTCCAGAGATAAGGCTTGAGAGATTTCTGTTATAGTCCCACTTCAATGCACTTGTGTCTTTTAATACTGACAAGGACTAAAATCAAGACTAGATGTTTTTTGCTGCTTGTCTTTAGAAAAACTTCTAGAGCTAGTCTGCAAGAAAGATAACTTATACCGACAGCCCAAGGCAGGTGAGTAACAATATATGAACAAAGCATAATTTATCAGTCCGATAGCTTAACATCATTATTCTTAATTTTAATTGGGAAAAGTTTGGCATGATCTTAAACATGTCAATGCAATGGTTCAGCTGGCCCATTACTGAATGCCACATAGAGCCTGAGTGGCGTAGGAGGCTAATGCCTCCTACTAAGGCAGCATTTAACATCCAGCTGCCTGCAATTACTGCGAGTTCAATTCTCACCAGGCTCAAGGTCGACTCAGCCTTCCATCCTTTCTAAGGTGGGTAAAATGAGGACCCGGTTTGTGGGGGCAATAAGCTGACTTTGTATAAAATATACAAAAGTATGAAGGCTATTGCTTAACGCATTGTAAGCCGCCCTGAGTCTCCGGAGAAGGGCGGCATATAAAAATAAATAAATAAAAATAAAATAAATAAATAAATAAATAGTGCAAAGGCTATATCTATTTATCTTCATAAATTCATTGAACACATGACAGCCGAGCAATGTCCATGCTTCTGTCAATACATTATCAATGCATGGTCGATAATGCACAGAGAAAAATACCCTATATTGTTTCTATCTGATAATTTTATCATAATTTATCTTGATTTACATTTAAACAATTTAAACTTTCAGTACAGGACAATTAATGAATGAATGGGTTTTATTTATTTACTATAGAAAATATTGATAGTTAATTTAAGAAAAAGATATGGATTTCATCATAATAAAAGGCACTAACACAGTAATTTATATGGAGGCTGGGACAATTTCTTTTTTAAAAAGTCCAGCAAAATTTACTAATGATAATTTCTGGGAAGAAGGTGAAAAAAACCCTAGATTTTATTTAATAGTTTAAAATCCCCTGTACTTTTGTTCACCTAGTGATCAGTGAAAAGATTGGCTTGAAAACATGAAGAAGTTTAACTAAAGTCTCCCCCCACCTACATGATTTATGTCGTATGCATATTATCACGCTTCTCTTTCTTGCTTAGAGTCTGTTACCTACTATGTGCCAAATATAGTCATTTTTTTTAAAATTACAGGAAATCTGTGTTCAGTTTCCTCCCATGTGTGCATACATTCATTCAAAGAATTAACCCTTCCAATAATTTAGTCCAGCTACAGCTCTACTAACATATCTAGTAACCAAAATTAAAATATTGAGGTTACTAATTGTTCAAATATAATTGTAAACAATAGACTTAATAATTGTAATATTATAAATCATAATATTAGAATTATAAACAATACAACATATTAAGCAGGATAGTTAGAACCCAAATAACTGCCAAGTTAAGGGCCAAAGTAGATTCAACCAGTCTGTGAAATATAGGTTATTATTATTATGGTTCGACGCACAGTCAGCCAGATGTTCAGACTGGGTTTGGCATTTTTGTCAAACTAGGAAGATGGGGATGTTTGATGGTTACAGATATTGTGACAGGATGTTAGCTGTTCCAAGTAAACCTGACTGTTGGTGAATCTGTCAATGCTGGTGGTGTTCGCTCAAGTGATTCTCCAGTTGTTTTAGGACTGCACGCAAGGTATCTATGAGTATTGGTACTAATTATTATTATTTACTTTATTCATTAAACATGAAACTCAGTCATCTGAACATTTTAAAATGTGTCACAAATACAATTGACTGGTACTAATGGTTGATACAGGTTGTTGCCAGAGTCCTAGGTATCAACCAAGTATCTTCTTAAAATATATGATATTCCGAGTAGCAGAGTTTTTTGCAGTTCCACTGGTGTTATTGCAGGAAGCTACAATTTCTTGATGTGTTTTGTTAAATGTGTTTTGTTAAGTGTGTTTTGTTCTTGGACATAGTACCAAGGGCCCAGATGACAATGGGTATCACTGTTACATATTTCATCCATAGCCGTGTATTTTGATGGCCAGGTCGCGATATTTCATGATTTTTTCCCAGTTCTTTTTCTTCGACTCTGGCATCTCCTGGTACAGCGATATCAATCAACTGTACACTTCTATCGATATCGCTGTACCAGGAGACGCCAGTAATAATAATAATAATAATAATAATAAAATAATAATAATAATAATAATAATAATAATAATAATAATAATAATAATAATAATAATAATTATTATTATTATATTTTAATGTACATTTTACCCAAGTGAGATGTCTGTAGAGATTCTCATCCAGGTCACAGTTGTCCCAAAAGTGCTTTTTCAAGAGGCAACTGGAATTTCTGGTTTTTCTTTGAAAAAAACCAACAGAAAACAAGAAAGTCCAGTTGCCTCTTGAAAAAGCACCTTTGGAACTACCAAAGTGAAAGCCAAAGACAACTTTTGAAGAAACAGGGAAGAGTAACCGAGCCATTTTCTCCTGTCTCAGAGTTCAAATTAACATTGGGAGTGAAATTTCTTTAATAGTAATGAAGTTCAAAGATACGATCTTAGCAACTAATTTAGCAGAATTGATGATATTCCTATACTCAGTTCTTTCTCCAAATTCACATATGTTAATCCTACCTACCAAAGGCTTCTGAGCAAACTCAGCTGCTTTAAAACAAGAGGGCATATATATCAGACTGGCTCCCTAAATGTTAACCAGTTAACAATCTATAATAAAGCCAGTTAACTAATCCACAAGAACAACTGACCATTTTCATAATGAAAAGATGGACAAATTTGGATCTAATAAAGATATAAACTTGACCTAAGACTTTTATACTTGTATATAAAAGATCTGGAGTTAGGGATCAGCAATGAAATGGATAAATTTGTAAATGACATTAAATTATTCCAAATGATAAAATAAACTAGAATTGCAAAAGGCTTTTTTTAAAAATTCCCAAACTGACTGAATAAGCTTAAAATGGCAAATAGAAATCAATATAAATAATTGCAAGGTGACAAAAGCTTTTAATATGAATTGGTTTTGAACATGAACTGGAATGAAACTTTGGAGCATGGTAAAGAACTCAATAAAAACATCAGTGTGCAGTTGTCATAAAGATGAATGCAATTAACAGTTTAAATTAGCTCCTTTGGTCCAGAGGGCACATTTGGAATTGTGCAAGCAAGTCTGGATTCTTTCAGTAAGTCTTACCATGGAATAACCTTGTTTGTTTACAAAATGACTACCATTACATAGTTCTCATTTACAGAAGACAAACTAATAAAGCTCTCTCCTATCAATATTTTAGGAACAACTGTGTTCTGCATGTATTCTAGATATTCTAGATCAATGATACAGTGGCACAGAAGTAACTTATCAGGATTAATACCTAAGCATAATATTTATTTATTTATTTTTCCATTAGGGCTACTAACCTGTTCAATGACCCATTAACATTTGGAGTATATTTATAATATAATCACTCACATTATCAAGTCACAGCAGCGGATATCTTTTATTGCGGATACAATCAACAAAACATGACCCACAACAAACAAGCACATAGGCACCATGTACAGGTAGTCCTCAATTTACAACAGGTCATTTAGTGACAGTTCAAAGTTACAGCAGCACTGGAAAAAAGTGACTTATGACCATTTTTCAGTTACAAACTTTGTAGCATCCCTATGATTACGTAATCAAAATTCAGATGTTTGGCAACTGGTTTCCTACTTAGGACCATTGCTGTGTCCCAAGGTCATGTGATCATCTTTTGCAACCTTTTGATAAGGAAACTCAAAGGGGAAGCCAGATTCAGTCAACAACCGGGTTACTAGTTTACCAACAGTGGTTAGAAAGGTTGTCAAATGGGGCAAAACTCACTTAACAACATAAATTTTGGACTCAATTGTGGTTGTAAGTCAACCACAATTGTACATGATTGGGGAAAAAAGGTCATCTGACAAAAGCCAAAATTAAATATCAATGTAATATTGTTTTCTCTGACATTCAGAAACATCCAAAATAGTCCTTTAGATCTATTTGCATGCCTTATAATTTCAACTGCATTGTCAAATTAAACTTGACACAATTTTCTGTTCACTTCAGGGCTAGAGGAAAATTTACTATGACTTGACAAGAGTGTTTCACAATGATAAGCTAGGCACTGCTCAGTAATAGATTTGGTCCATTCGTACAACTGAAAATAGAAAACTTAATCACAAATGCAAATAATTAGTTATTTCATATATTTAACCCATGTTTTCTATAGAAAGTAGAGTGTTTTTTTAAACATACATGGAAATTTTATAATGCCACTGAAAAAAACCTGAGCATTAGATTCTAAGAAGAAAAGATGTAGGGGAACCCCTGCAAAGAAGAGGATGAGTCACCTTCATGACTTATATAAAAGATCTTGGGATTTTATAGGACTGGCTTTCTTTGCCTATCTTTTGCAGCAAGGATGCAGGGTGCAGAGCCAGACACGAGACCGATTCGAGCAACTTCTGGGCCACTGAGAACCTCGTGTTTCCTTTTTATTTATGGTCCTTTTTCTCAAAAGTGGCAGAAAAGAACCTACACACTGAACACTTTTGATTTCCATGAAACATAACGAAAGGAAGTCTGTGGCTGCTTTGCTGAACTACTTATGTCTATGTAGAAACGGCTCCCAATAACAGGTAGGTGCATTCTCTTTCTTTCTTTCTAAAATAAAACTACAGGATGCAATGAAACAGAACAGGCTTGGTAACATTGACAGGTAAACAAATTTGAATATTTGTTTAAATAATACGAACAGTTAGTTAAAATTATATTTATGGGAACCATGGGTAGTCTTTGTATGCCATAGGAAATTGAGACAATATTTTCAGGCCAGACTAATTCTGTCAAAATAGAAGACATATGAGACTCATAGTAGCTTCATCACTAGTGATTTAACATTAGGCCACATCTACACATACAGGATGGTTATTTTACACAATATTTTTTTTTCTTTTGACAAGGTAATGTCAAAAGAAAAGATTTTTTTTTTCTTTGACAAGTTGCAATGAGTCTTCTGCATTGGCAAGGTAGAACTAAAATACCGTCATCAAAATCTTGTTACATTGAAGAACCACTGTATTAATAAGACTTGAATTAAATGCAGTTCTCTCTTCCACTGATTTTTATTGGATTTCAACATTGCGCCCTTTGAATTGTTTATAAATATGCTATTTATTCAGCATTCCTCTTTAAAGACTAAACCTTTAGAAATTTTTATCTGGAAAATGTACTTATAATTACACATTTCTTAAATATATATATATTTAGTGTTTAAAACTTCCATGGAATATTTTTAACAATTTTAACTCTGGTTTTTGAACTTCTTGTATATAGTTCCAGTTCAATTTACTGAAGTATCATTTACTAATTTCAGGGAAGGTTTCTCTTTGCTACAACACAAGTCAGATAAGATAGTTTGGTGAAATGTCAAACAGAATTTGATTTTATAGGAAGAATTTTAATTTAGGTTTTTCTTTTTACCAAATACTTCTAAGAAAGCATATTAGTGGAGTGCCATAAATATATTGATATAAGGTTATATATGTATTATTCAGGGATGTTAGTCTTTAGTCTTCTCTAATGGTCCAGTGACACATAAAGTGAAATCAAGTAATACTACTTCCTTGAGCAGTACCAATTCAAGTAACTCTGGGGGAGAGATACATTATGTTCCTCTATTTAAAAGAGGGAAATTCCCTGCAAATGTAGTCTGTAAGGTTGAAAACTAGGCTGATCATATCTCCTACACATACTGTAATTCTGTTGGCAGGAGTATTTTTATTCTGCTTTGATAATGGATACACAATTGTAGCTTTTGATAGCCGTCTGGACTCTGTTTGTATCTACAACCACATTATTACAGGGTACTACTACTGGCCATCACAGAAGAAAGGAAAATTCAAACTATGCTTTCATTTTAAAAAAAATAATAAATTATTAAAGTCTCCAAATAATGTTTAACTGTGAACAAATCAGTTGGATAAATATCATTTTAAGTTCTATATGTTTCAATAAAAGTTCAAAATTTCTGGAAGGTAAATGATATCCTTCAAATAACCGTGTAATATGTGGCTTTTATGTGGGTAGACACTATTAACTAAGGTCATATATGTTCTTATCCATAAACAGAATTGAAACTGGTAACTGAGAGATTACTGTAATTTCCACACTAGGACTAAGTAACAGAATCTGAACCCCCACTACCTGACTTAATTAAAGCAATTCCATTTTCTAAGATCTGGAAGACAAAACAGAACTAAATCATTTGCTTTTTCACAAACCTTTATGAATCAGGATACGAAATAAGAATGATGCATTCCTGGCTACACTAATCAGGAAAGCCCAATTACTTAGGTACTTAGCTTGCAAGGAAAACTCTTGCAAGGATATCTTGAGGACCATTGATTAAAATATTCAACTAGAATATATCAATGAATGATATATTCATTGAATGATATACTCATCAATGAATATATGCATTGCTGCTCATAAGAGGGGCAATCTGGAATGCTGGTAATCATATTTTACACTTTCTTCAGAAGTTATAGCACTTGTTTGCAAAAGCCCATATAGTTCACATTTACTGTTTCTTCTGGGCATTTACTATTGTGTCTTGTGATTATATTTAACTGGTTTAATTTAAAATAAAAAGGAAGAAGCAATTTCCATTTATCACTTAAATTAACTTACCACATCTTAAACCAACATCTACTTCCTCTTTGTTCTATCAGTTACTAACTGCAACTACTATGAAAACATAAGCTGTTTCATTTACTTTCATCTCCCCCCAAAAGAAAAACTTTGGAAATAAGTTGATGTACTTTAAAATAGGTTTCTCAATTACTGGAGCTGCAATTTAAATATACACTATATACTCATATACACTATGAACCAAAATGCCAAGTCTCCACAAAATTCCTGCTGTATAGAACCACCAGAAACTGCTTCTCAAGTACAAGTAATCGGTGCTAAGAGAGAAGGGATTATTATGTTTCATTTACATGGTAATCTACAAAACAGCATGTAATATTACATTAATAGTATTAATATTAATATAATTAATATTCCTGAATTTAGAAATGGGAAATCTAATCTCAAATTTTCATAGAACCATAAAATTCATCAAATGATCTTAAACAACTCACTTCACATAGCTTAGTATATTTCAGAGAACAAAAGCAGGTCTATACTTCCTGCTTGAGTTATTGTTGACACCTGGTGACTGTTGAGACAAGTTCTTGCAATTTTCTTTCAGAAATATTTTAGTAGTGGTTTGTCATTGCCTGCTTTCTGGGGCTGAGAAAGAATGACTGGCCCAAGGTCACTCAGCTGGCTACATAATTTGGGGAGAGGGGACTAGAATTGTTTAAAGCCAGATGACTTATCTACTACACCAAGCTGGGTCTCCTTCAGATATTTAACACAGTTAAAATAATCTTATTTTTTTCAATTCACATATGCAGTTCTGCTTGAAATACCATTTTTACCCAATTTAAATATTTCTAATACATGTATATCAAACTCGATAAAAAAAAATTGGTACAGTAATTGTTACAGATAAAGCTGTTGAGATGTATTTCCTATTAACAGAATATTTTAATATTTATTTTTAAAATGTTATTGTCCTTGATTTGTTTAACATGTACTCCATTCCTTAAATTCATTATTGCTTTTATATTATAGGTAAATTAGAGAGAATTGTCCAGAAGCTTCACCTTTATGGATTACATTAAATCTGCAGGCCATACACTGTTAATGCTAATTGTGATAGGTGTTTTATTCTGATCAACTCCTACATGTTAGCATTAATAGGGTGTGGTACTCTTTTCCAGAAGTAATATGGAATAAACTGCTGCTGTTTGCACGAAATCAAAGAAAATTAAAAAAATAAAGGAAACTGTTACATTTGCCAGTTTGCTAGCATGCAATTTTTTTCTCCCAACAAAAGTTAACCATTTTATCAATACATCTTTATGAGGACAACTGACAAGCACAGGTGATACACTACAACTTTTTCTGTCATGTCAAAACTCATCCATGTTGATACCAGCAAACTACAACAAATAAAGTGATGTATAATGTATTAGTAAATAAATTTTCTGAAGCCAAAAGAAAAATTAGGTTAAAATGTTCCACTTCACAGACTACACTCTGGGCACGTGCCACTTTTGAATGTAAACATGAGGGCATTGTAGCTCATACAGAAAGTTTCTGAAGTTCAAAGTTGAAATTTCTATCTATTAATAAGAACTTCGGACCACATTTCCCATCATTTCTATCCACGGCCACACTGGCTACAACTGACAATTTGCAGTTTAAAATATAGGGAAACTATTGATAATTCACAATCTCCAGCTCTTAAATAAATCTGAAAAATAAACATGCTATGCTCTTAGTTGTAAAGGACATTAAATGCATTTTATTTTCTTAAAGCAGGATAGTTTAACTTTTCTTTTAAAAAGAGTCAGGTTTCAAAATTTCCATACTCCCACCTATCCGTTGGCATAGAACCACTTTTTCTCCTTTCGCTGTTTCAATGTTTCCAGAAACTTTATATTACTTAACTCACTTCCCACGGTCTGAGTTTCAGAAGCATGAAAGTTCTGCTATTTCAAAAAGGTAATAAAATAAACTTCAGCACTGCAGATAGTGGATCAGACATCATAGAGATTCAATAAAAATGCTTCAAATGCAACTATCGTAAGAGTACATTAGTTCCCTCATACACTAACATGCTTTTGCCTACATAAAAAGAGCCTTATTATCTGCAAACCACACGTGTTATACACATATAGGGTCTAAGTGGTTAGAAATATGACTGGTATTAATTCTTGAAAGCAATGGACATTTGATTTGGCTCCAAGATATTTCCAAAGATTAAGGATTAATACTGAAAATTCATGCTGTTCTTTTTCAACAAGGGGACCATGGTAATACAGACTGCATTATGATCTCTTTCCAAATAACCCACACAAAAAAAGACTAAATATTAACACACACAAAAGAAGGTAAAGGCCAGGCCTATACACAGTTAAAGTGGAATAACCTAAAATACATTTTGGGCTGATGAATTACAAGATTACAAATTACAAATTCCTTTTTGATAGCCTCATTACATCCTTAACCAATTGGTTTTTCTCTCTTTTATTTACCGGTATATAAAAAATTGTCACTAATAAATGGAAATTTCAACTTTGAACTTCAGAAATTTTCTGTACAAGCTGCAATGCCCTCATGTTTACATTCAATAGTGGTACATACCCAAATTAAAATGAGCTTTCAAAATATTACATTGGTACAAAGTATGCCCATTGTAGCTATACTGAAACAGTAGTAGTATTTACTAATATACAAATGTCAATTTCAGCACTACAATCTAAATACAAAGATTAGATCTGATCATGCAACTTGGTAGCATTGCTCTAGTATCAAACTTATAACTAACTACTTTTTCCAACTTTATTCCTTCTATTTGGATTGCAACCTCTGAATTCACAGTCAGAATCCTGCAGCTTGAAATGTTTGGAAATGGATAGTTCAGCACATCTGAAAACATTAGAGACTAAGTAAGTCTGGTTACTGGTGCTGTATAAAGCTTTGGATTTTAATTAGAGGAAGGTTCAGTAAAATAATCACATCAAAGCACATTCATGAATCAATGCAGGGAACCACTTTGAAGCAGCAAATCAAACTAGATGACCATGAAGCACTTTGTTAGCCTTGTAAAACACCCCCGACTTTAAAAGGTCATTTTGCCCCTTCTGAACTTGTTACTGAGGACATACAATGTTGACATTCTTTTTTCAGAAATGGAAATATCAGAGATAGCGGTGGAGTAGAGTGATGAACTCTCTGACACAGGCTTCAGCAGCTAATCTGAATTCTACCAAATTTTTAACCTCTTATTACCAAAACTCTTTTGAACTGGGAAGGACTTCATTCCCTCTTAGCTCTGGGCTTCTTTAATGTGGTCAGTTTCAAAACTGAACTTTGTTCTCTCTCATGCTGATGTATTAAACTTTGATACTAGTTCTGCCTACACAACTGATTCAGTTCAATTCTCAGCATTCTGAATATGGACTCAAGGCTGACCAGTCAGATTATGTATTATTGGCTGAAAGCTAACACTTACATTCACTATCATTTGGGCAAATTTAATTCTTTGTAAAAAGGGATGCGGTGGCTCAGTGACTAAGATGCTGAACTTGTCGATCGAAAGGTTGGCAGTTCAGTGGTTCGAATCCCTAGTGCCGCATAACGGGGTGAGCTCCTATTATTTGTCCCAGCTTCTGCCAACCTAGCAGTTCGAAAGCACGTAAAAAATGAAAGTAGAAAAACAGGGACCACTGTTCCTAGTGGGAAGGTAACAGCGCTCTGTGAGCCTTTGGCATTGAGTCATGCCGGCCACATGACCATGGAGATGTCTTCGGACAGCGCTGGCTCTTTGGCTTTGAAACAGAGATGAGCACCACCCCCTAGAGTCGGAAACAACTAGCACATGTGTGCAAGGGGAACCTTTACCTTTAATTTTTTGTAAGAACTAAAAGGGGACCATGGTACTACATTCAAACATTTATTGTTTTTTTAAAAAAGAAAGGTTATAAGCATATTAAATATTTTTCTGTGCTAGCCTCTTTCTATCTCAACTGCCTACCTCTATAGAATTGTATCTCTTTGACTTAACCTGTGTCTGTTGCCTCTGCTAACAGTTGCCAACGACACAACTGAGTCCCAATAGGGAGGAAAGGGTTCTTTTCAGAAAGCAGCAAGAAAGTCATCCTGATATATCTATTTTCCCATCACTCTGCAAATCCAGAGATAGGGTTGGCACTCCAGAAAACAAGCATTATCTTAGAATATTTTCTGAACATCTTTATTTTAAAACTGGAGTAGGGTACTTGCTGCATTGGTTCAGTAAGCACAAGTCAAGCTCTCTTTGCCTTCAAAGAGGTGCAAGAATATTACTTCAAAAATATTTTGTAACATCCAGCTGAAGCGTGACGGAGCTAAAATGTCTACTGAACCTGCTATTTTCATCTCATTCAATAATAAACATCTGTGGGTATTTCAATGCTTTGCTCTTATAGCCCATGGATGGATGGATGGATGGATGGATGGATGGATGGATGGATGGATGGATAGATAGATAGATAGATAGATAGATAGATAGATAGATATTCTAATCTGAATCCCAATTGTTTAAATAGTTCAAATCAATTTGGCTCCAAATATCAAATTGCAAACATAAATTCAATCACACCCTCTTTGAATCTTCCATTCAAATTGAATTGGAGTGATGTGTACAGGCTTATTGCTCATATTCATTAACTGTGAATTGTAGAAGTATTTAAGCTGAGAGGAAAATCCAATGTCTGTCAGGATCAGTATCTGAACTCATCTCTCATTTTGCAACAGGCTTTGAATGCCTGCAGATACTGTAAAACACTCCTGGATATGCAATCTTTTTTTATTGCCATTACATCTAAATCCTAATCTGGTAGAGCAAGGGTGATGTTCTGTGAGTCTCTGAAAACCTTCTCTCAAAGAATTTTTTCAAGGAATTGATTTGAATCATGAATCTGTACTTTAAAACAATCTCAATTTAATTTATAAGTATTTCCACACATACAGATTAGAAAGGGTCAGGCTAGTTCAACGTTTGTAATTTCATTTCCATCGTTTGTTTCTTTTGGTCTTTTTTCACTGATCTGTAAAACATAATAAATGCTTGAGGTAAAATATGAACTTTCATATACCTTTTGCCAAATCCCCAAATCCATTCCAATTCCTCCCCTTTATTCACTGTTCATACTGATCCCCCTGCATGTTGGCAGCCACACTTTGATTTTCTTAATGAGAACTGCAAAAGGTAAACTGAAATATCTGGGCGGAAATGATAACACTGTGCCTCCTGAGAAAAATATAATTCATTTCTCATTAACATTTGCTTCAGAAAAAAAATACTACTGAAAAAACACACATTAAATGTGATTTGGTTTAATATTCAGACTAGCCAGGAAAGAAAGAGGATACAGAGATGCTTTAGAATTATGCTTGCTAGTAGATATTCTAACAGATGTACTAATACACCGGGTAATACTGAACATTTAGAAAATATATTTATATAAATATGAAAGTAGCACTGACATTTGAAATCTTAGCTTTTTGCCAATAGTTTAAATTATCTGATAACATTAGATTGACAATGCCATGATTCTTAAACCCAATTCCTACTATTACTTTTATACACTCAAGTTAAAAATCAATTTTGCAATTCAGTTCTCTCCCCATTCCACCCATAGGCAAAATAAAGTTTCAAGATTCCTAGCAATCTTCCAGTCATTTATGTGCAGCCCTCAGTGCTGCCTTTGGCCACAATTGTCAAAGACAAGCATTACATTTTTTTGGCCATCCAGAGATGAAAATCCCATGTATACTGTAATTTATATTATGACAAAAATAGACACTCACACACCTCCAAACCCGGTGGCAGATGGGTAAGAATAATAAGTCTCTACTTTTTAAAAGCAGGAAAATGTCAACAATAATTTTCATGGATGTTTGCAATACACATACAGTGTGTATGCAATCTAAAACATGGATCAATATAACATACAAATAATAACAGAATAGTGCTATTGTCATTTCTTCCAGGCCCAAGAAGGTAAAAATAGTTGTATGCCTTACATACAGTATTATGAACATCTTATGAAAAGTTCTTCTTTACACATTGGTACATACTGTAAGTAGTCCTAAACTTATGACCATTAGGTTCACAAATGCTTGAAGTTACAATGGTACTGAAAAAAGTAACTTACAACTAGTCCTCACATTTACATCTGTCACAACATCCCCATGGTCAAGTGATCACCATTTGCAACTTTCCCAGGGTGCTTCGAACAAACATAGTCTGATGAGGGAAGCCAGATTCACTTAATGAGTGTGGCAAAAAATCTCGTAAAATTGGGTGCCACTTAATGACATTTTTTAACAATGGACGTTCCGGTCACAATTGTGATCACAAGACCAGGATTTCCTATAAAAAAATTTACAGCAGGGGTCTCCAACCTTGGCAACTTTACAACTTGTGGACTTTACCTCCCAGAATTCCTCAGCCAGCATGAACTGGTTGAGAAATTCTGGGAGTTGAGGTCCACAAGTCATAAAGTTGCCAAGATTGGAGAACCCTATTCTAGAGTATCAGAGCAAAACAAACTGATTGTAATTTCTAAGGCATTTTTTCTGAAATATTGATATTTTATATTACATTTTATTACAGGGTTGTGTTTCTTCATAGCTTTCAGAAAAATAAGTCATGCAAATGTAATGATTATTCCTTGAGGTTTAAACTTACTAGTTTCTGTGATCTTTTCCGCAATCTGTGCCATATAGTATGATAAAGCTATAATGAAACAGAATCAGTCAGTATGTAAGTTTAATAAATCATTATTACTTTGCAATGAAAATGTGTTTCCGTGTTGTGTATTATGGGCAAAATCTCATGAGAGGATCAAATAACCACATTTCATAATTTTTCAGCTTTCTTATATAAAACCTCTCAAGATTTAAAAAGGGAAATCCAGTTGTATTTCTTAAGAATAAACATTAAATTCCATTATTTTGGGCACTAGTAGAATTTGTGTGTGTCTGTGTGTGATTAAAATTTAATGTTTCTCTGGAAAACATCTTTTCCCAAATATATCAAGCAAATGAAGCCTTTTGGGGGAAAGTGATGTTACATTTTCTAAATAGAAATACAGTACTATAATTTGAAGTTTGGCTGAATCTTTTCCACTAAACTCTAAGATGCTGGCTTTGTACTATTTATTTCTAGTAAAAAAAAAGGAACAAAAGATTATTTCCAATTTCCCATCATTTTTCTTTCATTCTCCTTATGGATTCTAATTCCATAATTCTATGGAGCAGAGACTGTTTAATAATTACCTTTCCTAATAATTCTTATATCAATTGTTGCTGGTGGTTGTGCGGTATAAAACCCGTAAGTAGCCCTTTCCTTTTTTACTGGCCCTTAAACTCTTCAGTATTGCACTGCCAAATTGCAAGCATGTTGTTTTTCATTCTTTTCAAAGAAATGACAAAAACTTTGCTAATTTTCCAAAACATTTAATGTGTTTATTTTACTTTTTTTAAAAAGACCTCAAAAATTCCCCAGGAGTTTTAAAAAGGGCAAAATATTTTCTCTTGCCTCATGAGAAACATCAGTGAATTTAGGACAAAGAATTTGAAGGCTATTTACTGCATACCATCCTAAGTCTATATTCTCTTTCTTATCCTAAACAAAAATACTAGTAAAATAGATTACTAACCTTTAAATGATGTGGTACAGAGATACCTTGGAATCTTCTTAATTCAGACTGGCTGCTTTGAAGATTATGAGCTGCTGTCACTTCATACTGATCACACAAGCTAGTTCTTGAAATATGAGGCCCTTCACTAATGTCTACAAAATCACCAAATCTGGTTGAAAACAAAACACAGAAAGCTTAATCACCCCAAAATGTGTTAGTGATAGTTTGAAAAGTGCATCTGTTACCTATCCAGTAGGGTGATAAGCTCCCATTCACTGCATGTGTTGAAGTGAAACTGAATAGATAACTGGAAGATGGACTAAATTTCTTAAGTGTTCCCTATTTGAATTTTTGCACAAATGTGGCTTGGAATCATGGCCTAAATTTCTGTTTTTCTGACAAACTCAAAGCTTCTAGAATAGACTGTCTTTAAGGATCTATAATGAATTTCTCTCTGGCTGAAAAATTAATGAAACATTAAACCTGTAACTTTTTATTTTTGCTACATACTTTGCCATTTAGAAGTGCTAAAATAAAGTCTTTAATGCCAGTTAACCAACATTTCTAAAATATATTATAGCTTTCTGGTGGTGATAGATTTGTCTACTGAGAAAACAGACCAAACATTTAAGATTTCCTTCACTCCATATAATTTTCAAGTGGAAGCTTCCAGAACAAAGGATTGAGGCCTTATTTATCCCTTATAAAATATTTGCCCTAATCACAAAAGATAATTCCACGAGTTCTGAAAGTGGATTGGGTCACTGAATATAATGCATTTTTGTACATTTTCACTATAATTTTAATGAAAAAGAAATTGCTGATAAATCATATATTCCGATGAGCCAGGAATGACTGGTCTCTTCTTTGACATGACTTTAAAGGGAGAGAAAAAGAGAGAGAGCAAAGATAACTTTCTTCTCACTGAAGTGTTAAAACATTGCTCAGATCCTTATCTCATTTATTCTCCCCATGATTATAAGAATATTTCACTTCTGGTTCAATGTAAAGATCATAAAGGTAAAGATTTCTAGCTATTTTTAAAAAAGGCTGGCTTGGGGTTTGCTCACCTGTGCACTGTAACTACTCCTTTGGAATTCTGAGAAGCTCTTTCGTCAACCATATCCTGTTTGAACCTAAAACACAAAGAAACAGGTCCATAACAAAACTTCCTATTGTATGTAATGTAAAATAACCACAAATTCAGGTAGAAGAATATATACATGCTATTTCATTTTTTAAAATCATACGTCACTTTTCCTTCCTACATGCCAATTCTAGTAACACTGGGCTAAGGAATATTTTTTCTTTCTTTTCAAAAACTGAGAAAACATCTCTTTATACCCACCACCAGGCCTTTATTAACTGTTGCCAGCATTGCTTCTAGTAGAGATGTTCCTAAAACTTCAAAACCCTATTTTTATACAATAAATGTTGATGCATTTAAACCCACAGAAAACATATTCCATTTTACTCATTCTTGTTATTACTCTTCAAAGTGGAATGATGTGCATTATCTATTACATAATAAAGAATATACAACATATGTTAAGTACAGCTGCAAAATATGGCTATTTGTTTTAACTGGAGTTATACATTGTTCATCCATACTCCTTTTCATTATCAGTAGCATACTAATAGACATGAAAACCAAAAGTAAACTGATAAGGACCTGTTTATTTTTTTAATCTCAAATTATATTATAGATCTTCTGAATGAAATACTGATTTCAGATTATATACATGATTGCAGGGACAGGCAGATACACATCCTTTCTGAATGACATTTTAACTCTGACATATAGATTGTTAATACTAACTTGTTATACTCAAATATTTCAAGTGCCACTTTTGCATCGACATCCAGCACTTCAAACAGCAAGTCTTTCTGAATTAATCTGAAAGCATCTTTTGAAAGAGAATGGAGATTTTCCTTCAAAAATGAGATAAAAATACTGAGATTATATAGACAGACATGATAAACAAAAAGGTTCAAATAATTTAAGTACTTTAAATTCTTGGTGTGTAATATTTAAACATTATTCTGGAGACTTTTCAAGCTGTAGCTATTTAAGTTAGCTCTGTCTTTGCAGGAATATAGTAAGCATAAAAACCGGGACATATTTCATATTTACTATTCCTCCTTTCATCTAAGCTTAAAAAAAACTCAATATCCTCTATCTGCCCAGCAGTCTGGAAAATTATTTGGCTTAATTGATTTAAACATATCACATAGTGTTCCTTTTATTTCATCCCTAATGCAATACAGAAGGAAGTTTATGAATTAATAATTTTAGCAACTATAGCAAATACTATAAGAAATATTTGAGGAATAAAAGGGCAAGTTTGTGAGGCTATTTAAATCCAATTTATATATTTTAATACACCATACTTTTAAAAAAAGGTTCTACTATATTAAGGCAAGACTGAGCTTAAAATTAACCTGCCTCCTTGCATTTTTCTACATGACTTACAATCAATATTATTGGCTTCTCGCACAGTCAGTCAGTTGTATTAGGTACTTTTGTCTGCCTATCTACTGGTAGTCCTTTCCAAGGACCGGGGATAGACATATGTGGACGTTTGATGTTATTTTTATTATCATTTATTAAACATATGCTGTTCCACAGGGTAGAACAATGGCAAAAAAATTTTTACAATAGAAATATGACCAGACTAAATATGACCAGACCAGAGCAGAAGAAGTTCCAGATTAGGTTTTATAATTTATTATTATATGAATTAAGGTCTGAATCCAGAACAAATATTGACTAATATTGACTCTATCATCATAGGATTGATCAATCAATTTCTGGTCTGCTAATTCTGCATATATTCTGTTTTCAGATCAATTTTTACAAAATATTTAAATATTTCCTCACAATATGCATATTTTAAATATATTTTATTCAAAAAAATATACATTTGAAACCTAAATAAGTATTAGAAGCTTGGTCCAGCAGTCTAGGAAGTGCAGTTTAATATCTACATTTATAACAAATGAGTTTCTCCAGTAATTCAAAATCATATTTTATTAGATAATAAGAGCAAATAACATAGGGCACAAACAGATAAAGTTCTGTGTGGATACAAATGCCCATTGCAATTTTTACATTTAGCAATTATTCTTTTAACAGAATGGATATATTGAGTTGTCCATTACACCAGTTTGATCTTACCTCAGTTGGTGTCCATGCATCAAGTTTGCTATCCAAGATTACATCATAGCAAAACGCTCCAGACGTCACTATATAGCAAGACAACATTTTGAAATATTGATATGAATAGATTTTTCAAAGTCAGATATTTAACAAAGTCAGCCAGCATATAGTTACAGTATCAGTTCTCCCTTCCAGAAATGTAGCTGTACAATTAATTCTAAATCCATAATTAGGCATATCTTCATTAAGCAAAATGTCAAACACAGAGTGCAAGTTTTTGGGTTATTCAGAATTCTTTATTAGACAAGATATTATCAAAACAAATAAACCCAGGATGGTAAAGGAATGAAATCTAAATATGGCTACATAGTTTATTCTTGAGTTCTACACATCCCACTTTTGAACAAAAATAATGAATTGTGTCAAGATCAAGATAGACTTTTAGGACTTCCTCCAGCATTGACACTTCCTCAGGCAAAAAACTGAAGGAACATTTTGGTCAAATAACTGAATGTCTTTGGAACTTTTTCACACAAAAAAGTTCACCTAACACTATCTTAATTTCTCTTTTTATTCAAGAGAATAAAAAAGATTTTTATTCAAAAAAATTGGGGGGAGGGGGGTTATAACACAACTCTCTAGATACATACATAAGTAAATTTCTTCTAGTTCAATGGGGTAAAACCTTTCAGATAAATTGAACAAATTGCAGAATTAATTTGAATATTAAAAGTAATACTCAAACTATGTCTGCAATTCTGTTCTATTTAAATAGGAATTTTATCTGTTCTGCCATAGTATGCAATTGAGAATTGAACATCGGTTAATAAATCATTTTAAGAAGTATGCTTTCTCCAGCATCATGTTATTTAGCATGGCAGTTTTGGATATGGCCAATTCCAAATAAAGACCAACTGAAAAAACCATGTATACTATCTTCACAGAAAAAAGCAATTAAAGTATTTACCATCATAAGAAATGTATATAACTAGATGAACAAAAACAGTTAACAATGATCTACTGAAACTGGTAATTTAGTAAATTGTCTATTATAATTTTCTTCAGCTTTGTAACCTTCCAGTGGGTTCAGACTATAATTCGAAATATTTTGCATGCACTCCAAATGCTATAATACCTACATTTTTGAAATGTGTAAATTACAGAAATTATTTTCTATGTTCATTGTAATACTCTTCCAGAGAGTTATGTTACCTGGTATTTCTGGAGCTTTAACAAGAGTAACTGAATATTCATCTTTAAATGCTTGTTCTAAAACACAGCCCAGAATCATAGCACAAGAGCGCCAATAAGCCTGCAATAGATTATTAATTCAAATTATATCAAGACAGTTCAATGTAAGTTTCAAAAGCAAAATTGAAAAGACTCAAGGCATCATTTATAAAATTTTATGTTTAACAGCAAATGTAATTAAAAATGCAGCCAGACATAAAAGGTATTTGTATTCTGTTTCTGACTATCCTAAGGAATAAAAATTTATTTTATTTTATTTTATTTTATCAATCAAAAATACTCCACTTGTATTATTCAAATCTGTAATTAGTAGAAAGTCAGAAAGATGAAAGAAACTTTATCCTTTAGATCCTTTATCCCTTATAACAGACCTCTTAATCTATCATTCACTTAAATCTGGGGAAAAACAGAAACTTTAAGATGAATAATAAGAGAAACAGAATATCATTATATTCCAATCATTTTTTAATCAATTTCTCTACAAGTTGTTGTTGGGTTATGACCTCGATTTTGCTGAATGAATGGTATACTGTTATTGAATTTCGTGGCACTGCCACAGCAGTGCCACGAGAGTCACAATTGTGTTTCAGGCATTGGCAATTATCTCATTCTTATGACAGTTGCAATATTCTAGTTTTTCTCCTGAGGAGCCCTGCTACACATTTGAAGATCTGGAAAATCTGACATTCTGAAGCACATGCCGACTTGCAGCAATCACTGTATCTGCACTCTGCAGTGTATGCACACCTGATCATGCTTGCACTGGGCTATAGGCGCCCCACAACCGTGCCAGACTGCAAGACTTAACTTCTGCTTGGCTGCACTCCCAGCACAGCACCCTAAATTCTCCTCCACTTGCCCATATTCCATAGCACTCGCCTGCCCACTGGCCTGCTTGCAAGCTAAAGAAAGATTTGTTACAACTAGGACTTGCAACTTCCTGTCTGCTTCTCCTTTGACTTTGCTTGCAGGAAGTCATAGGAAGTCCTTGCTTAATAACCCATGATCCTCACATAACAACCACAATCAAAATTGCCATCACTAAATGATGTGGTCACATGACATTGTGCTTTACCACTGCATCGCTCAGTGACAGAAATTCCAGTTCCAATTATCAAAGTTAAGCAAAGACTACCTGTATTCACGTTCAACTAAATTTAAACCATGCATCCTTTTGTGCTTCAGGTTTAATAAAAACAATATAAAGCAAGAAATCCAGTATTATCATACTTTATTCACTTCCTCTGCATCTTCATCTTTGAAAGTAAGAAACTGAATTTCACAAGAATGAGTAAGAGGCCTGTACATATCCCAGTGCTGCCCATCTACAAGGGCAAGCACAGATCTCGTAGAATACCATTCACTTAAATCTGGAAAAGACAAACAAAATAAAATAAAAATTAAACTTCAAAGAATCATAGGATCATATTTTATTAGTGAAACAACAGTCTAAAACTATCACCTGTATAACACCTAAGGTAAAAACTAATTGTTTTTAAGAGAGGCAGCAAGGTTTCACCCATAGTTTTCTTGAATCATCTGTTACTTCTACTTGTTTTCTTTTTTTAATCCTACTATGAGACACTATCAGAATCTTTTTTGGTTAACAGGAAGAAGCCAGAATTTTTTTGCCTGTTTTGGATCAAGTTATAATTCATTGCTAAATAGCATGATGACTTTGAATATTTCTCTCCTTTAATGATGCTTCATGGGAAATTAATAGGGATAGGTGAAATTGACTCAACAAAACTGAGGATTCCAAATTGCTAGAGATTAGGTATCAAAGAGGAGAACAGATCTGTAGAAACCAAGAAACATGTTAGGGAAGCAGAATTACTGGTGATCCCAAGTGAATACTTACTGAGAGTAAGTTTAGCTCCCAAACATTATGTATTTGCACAACTAACTAAACCGTAGTCCTTCTTACATAAAACATGTTTCATTTGTTATTCAATTTGTTATTCAGCCTAACAACAACCATTTCAATTACTTACGCATAGCACAACTGTATGGAGTGGAAAGTCCTTTGTTCATTATAAATAAGGTGCCAGGATGTGATTTACCCACATGTTTTACTTCAATTTTCTCAATCCGTGGATTAAGAGACAGTTGTCTTTCTTTCTCTTTTGTGAACAGATCGTTGCGCCTTTGAGCAATTTCTGCTGCTGAAAGTTGAGGAGTAGATGCAGTGGAAATTAATCCTGAGAAGAAAAAAAGAAATGTTTGTTAAAATATATTATTTTAATTGTCTAATATCATCTTTGCTAATACATTTATATGAAACTATGATATTTGATTAAAACTAATGAAGGAAAAATATTCCTTGCTGCAAGACCTATAATTAATATCTCAGGAACATCTGTGAAAGTGCATTTCCTTTACTCAAAATCTGACAAAAATGACTTAAATCTTTTAAGAGAAGTATGGTAAGTTCCTGCTAGTTTGAAATATGTGTGTATGTATATGTGTATGAGACAGTGACAATATCACATGCCATTAATACCAGCCATATCACATAATCAAACGATTGAGTCTTTATAAATATGCACAATGATGCTATGAACTTCACTGCGCAAACACCTTACCACACACAATGCACACTGCTTCTAATATGTCAGACCTACCAACTCTGCTTTTCTTACCAACAATTATCAAGAAAATACTCTTCAATTTAAGGAGCATAGAGTTTGAAATGTCAGGCTATAAAATCTCCAGGGTCAAAAAGCAAGGCACCAGCCACATAAAACAAACTGAACTCAATGTTCAAAGTCATGGAATCCATTTTTAAATTCCAGGGTTAAACTTGAGAAATGCAAGCCTTCGACAGGAAATATTATTGATACTATGCAAATGGTTATCTAACTTTCCCTAATTATTTAAAGCAAACAGCCATCTCCATTCTCAGGAAGCTGTTCTTGCAAGATTTAAGGTCATGAGGGGTCCTTGATGCTGTCTGAGATTGTTTTCTTGCAGACATTTTGTTACCAAACTAGGCAACATAAGCAGTGCTAATAAGGAATGGGGTTTGCTCTCATTTTATATTCTAGTGGCTTTCCCTGTCAGTGTTAGTGGGAGTGATCTTGGTTGTTCTTTGGTCCCAACCAAATTTTAAACTTGTTAATGTAATATTAATCTTGGTGTAAATCTCTACTTATCTGGGTGTTGATTGCTGGTGAGGAGGTGTTCTAGTCTTTTTGTTCCCTTTTGGGCTTGTTGATTGTTTCTTTTGAGTGGTATATAGATGTTGTTTGTACCCGCTGATGGACAATTTGTCAGAGTTAGGGCCATCAAATTGGCCATCAACAAGCACACAGACATAAATATTATTTGAATATTTGAATAATGTTAACAATATTAGACCAATAACAATATTATATTGTTGTTGGTCTAATGTTAATATTCAGATTAGCATTAGACCAACAATCAAGAAACAAACAATATCCCAATCAAGGAATTGCCAAACAAGCTAACAGTAAACAGCCTAACCAAAGAAATACCAAGACCATTCCCACTAACACTGCCAGGGCAAGTCACTAGAATACAAATTGAGACCAAATGTGTATTCTCCTCCCTACCAGCAATGATGATGCTTCCTAGTTTGGGTATCGAAACGTCTCCAAGAAAACAACCAAAGGGCCCCCGATTTTCAATTCTGGGTTGCAGATATTCTGCTCTATCGTTAAGAAGGGCAGGCAGGGATTGCAATGTTTTAATCCAAGCAGTGCAATACCAAGATCTATCGACGAGAATGGCAATATAATAATTCCTTAGCTGTATCCCCTGAGCCCAGAGTTTAAAGCCGCCATCCCTCGGGTTCCTCCTTAGGCTTACTTTTGCTGCAGCCCCGCCATAGTCCACGGGCAAACGAAAGAGAAGCCATCCCCACTTTCCTTTCGCTCGTCCTCCACCACCTCCTCTGGGCGGTCCGACGCACTTCGCGTCCTCCGGAAACCACCGATCGCTACAAAAAGCGTTCCGTCTCTCGCGGTTCCTCTCATGCCGCTTCGCTTCAGCGGTAATCGAGGCTATTTGGAATGAATGTTTTTGTTGTTGTTGTTGTTGTTGTTTTGCGTCGCTATGAGAAAAGAATTGACGGGAGAAAAGACTGTTTAAGGCTTCTTTTTTTAAAGGCTGCCATATCGGTGCTACGAAGTCCGGAACAGCCACTCAGTGATAGCCAAGGAGTACTGGTGATTTCGTTGCGAAAGAAAGAGACCGCTTTATGACATTTGCTTTGAGCCATAGGTATAAGGAGATTTGTCAGGAGGCGGGTCGAAAACAGCCACCTTTCTATCTTTTTGAGTTGTCTGATCTTGAACCATAGACAAAATTTCTTTTATGACGTGAAGAGACGGCACTGCCCTACTGTACTGTCTGGAGCCTGCAAAGTTTGCTTTGGAAATCCTGGGTAGGTTTTCGTTACTCAGGGATGCAAAAAGACTGCCTTGCACTAGACTCTCCTATAAGGAATCAACTTATAGATGGAAAACTCTGTGATATAGGTAAAACTGGCTCCAATTAAATTATGATAGTGACGATTCATATTCGTCTTCGTTCCGAAACTGCAATCCTAAAACCCTTTACTTCGAAGTAACGCCACTTAAAATAAACGCGACTTATTTCTTCTGGATAAATATAAATGAACGGGAAGAGTCCCAAAGGGGTAAGAACGAAGGTTGTTTTCAAAGATAGTTGCGTTCCCTGATACCTTATGGATTCACCTAAACAGCAATTAATTCTACCGTATTTGGGGCTGCAAACTCAAAGATGACCACCAGATGGCAGCGATGCGTTTCCGTATCTCTACTTTAGTCTCTTGTATCTGGACTGGAAGTTTGTAGTTAAGACATGATAGCCCTACCTTAGCTACTGTATGTCTAAATAAGACCAAAGACAAAAAGAATAATGTTTATTTTAAATATACTTGTGTTTTACAGCATTGACAGTGATAAGTATCAGTGATGTTTTCAGGATAGTTTTCAACTTTCTAAAAGAAAGTGATGTGAAATAAACAGTCTTCATCTGACTTCGTACCTTATTATAAAGTAGCTTTCAATTACACTTTAGTGGAGATGGTGTTCAAAGAGTAGGATATCACCATTGAAAAAGTTCATTGCAATGCTCTGCTTGGAGGGCCTCAGCAGAAGATTTTATGCTCAAGTAGAAAGAGGATTTTTTTCTGACATTGTGGCCTTTAGCTTTTAGGGCTCTAGGGACTGAAACCAAGGACCATCCCAGGACAGTTCTTCAGTTCAATGCAACAGGCATGCAAGAAAGCAATAGGTGACAGCATGTGCATTAAAACCTTGTCCTTGAGCTGATATTAGTGTCTCCTTGTGGATTATGGTCTGATGTTTCATCTTTTGGTTGAACTTGGTCAATTGTTTCTTGGTCCAAGAAATAATCAATGAAAACTAATCAAGGAGAGAAGCAACCTAGAATTAAGGAGAAACTTCCTAGCAGTGAGGACAATTAACTAGTAGAACCTTCAGATGTTGTGTGTGCTTCATCACAGAAGGTTTTTAAGAAGTCACTTGTCTGAAATGGTATAGGATCTCCTGCTTGAGCAGGGCGTGGACCAGAAGACCTCCAAGGTCCCTTCCAGCTCTATTCTGATTCTGATTCCACAAAGCTGATTTGGCTTTGGTCTGTGTTCTATTTAATGTACATTTTTTTTTATTGAAAAAGTTTTTCAAATACAGATTTTTCCCCCTTTCCCCCCCCTCCTCCCTAACCCCCCCCTCACCTCCCCCCCCATGGCTTCTTCAAAATAAAATCATTGATATCAAATTAAATAATACTTTACCATCCTTTTACACCCCCCCCCCCACATGCTAACCATTTCTTTCTAACATTGTTATTATATCCCCCTTATACTATACATTTCAAAGCAACCTTCAGCTATAAAACTATATAATAAATCCTAATTTGGCATTTATTCAACTCATAATCTACCCATTTCCTCCACCCCCATACATATAATTCTTAATTCAAATCTTTTACGTATATTAATATCTGAACCTAACATCCCTTTTCCTAAACTAAACAATCAGTAACCTAACCTATCTCCACCCCTTTTCCTACAGGTCTACCATACATAATATTTTAATATCTTTGTTCTTCTGCCCACACCACACCACTAAAAGATATTTCCATATATAAACAAAATCCTCAGATGACTTTAAATTTGTAATCCATATGATATCTTCTGTAATGTCTTTCAACTAGATTATTAATTCCATCGCCCATGTAAGGGTAACATCAAGTTCTAATTCCAACAGTATGTTCAGTATCTTCAATTACCATCTGCCCCCATCAATAATAAGTGTTTTCGTATATAAAAAACCACCCGAGTGACTTTATATTTATATTCCATATAGTATCTTCTGTAGTGTCTTTCATCTAGATTAATTCCAACCACCATGTTAGGGTAACAACCAGATCTTCTGCATGCCCCAATCCCATAGTTCTCGTGCCTTATAGCTCAACATATACGTAATCCATTTTTCAAAGAGTCCAAAATAGAAAGTTCCAATCCACTCAGTTAGAGGCCATCTTCCACATCCCAAAAGCACAGCACTGCAGAGATCTGTTATTCTTCTCAAAATAGTATAAGTCAATAATTTGCCTCAGCTATATTTTCATATTAATCGTCTCTTAAGTAACTGGCAATAGACTGTTGTTTAGTCTAAATTTTTTTAGTTTTGTAGAACCTGCTTCTTCTTTTCTTAATTTTTTGTGGTTTAGATCTCCATCCTGGTTGCCTTTCTAGGACTTGTATATCAGCTGATTGGTTTCCATGCTGGTCTGTAACTTGATAAGACATCACATTAAAATCCAAAGCCGCCTCTCTTGTATTTATAGGTAATCCAGCTATAACCTCTGAAGGAGAATCCAAAAGCGACTCGTCCAAAAGGGCCTCTGTGACTTGTTGTTTTTCCATTACCTCCATCTCCATCTGCTTAGCCTGGGTTTCAATCTCTTGTTCATTTTGCATTTCTTTATTCCCCTCCTGTCCTAACACTGATGGCATACATGGAGATGTTGAATCCTTTTTAAGAGCCTTGTAGTAAAATTCTTCCGCTTTTCCAACAGTATTTAATTGATATCTTTCTCCTTGGTATCTCAATATTATACCAACTGGAGCATCCCACCTAAATGGGATGTTTTGTTTCTTTAGCTCAGTCACCAAAAATCCAAATTCCTTTCTGTCTTTTAACATCTTAGACAGCAGTTCTTTATATATCCAAATCTTCCTTCCGTTCATTTCTAGAGTGAAATTAAAAGACTTTTGCACAATATCATTTCTTATTGCTTTATCAGTAAAGTAAATCACCACATCTCTAGGCAACTGCTTTTGCTTTGCCACCCAAGAATTTACTCTGTAGGCCTTATCAATCTTACAGGATACCTCTTCAGGACTAACCTTTAAAATCACAGCCAGAACTTCAGCAGACATCTTTCTCAAATCATCTCTATTATTTTCCTGTAATCCCCTCATTCTGACCGCAAATTCCATGGACCTGTATTGCATCATTGTAATTTCTTTTTCAATCCTTTGTTTTATATTATCTGCATTATAAGTCTCGTGATTAGCTTCCTTTTTAGACTTTACTTCTGAGCTCATGTCTTGAATATTTATCAAATCATTTTCAATTCTTTGTATTTTATTGTCCAGATTATAAATCTTATGATCAGCTTCCTTCATTTTAGACTCTAGTTCTAAGTTAATATCTTTATCCATCTTTTTAACTATTTCTGAAAAAGTTTTCAAAGCTGTTACAAACTGTTGTTTCAGATTGGCATATTTTTGTTGTACCAACTCTTTAATTTCCTGCCTGAATTTTTCAAGATTCTGGTTCACAATATCATCATGTCTTGCCATCTTCTCCAAAACAAATTCCTTTAGGTCTTTAAAACCATTCTTCTGAGTCTGCAAGTTCAAAACTTGTTCATATGGTTTGTAAATGGGGGAGCCCCCCCCCCCACTGCTTGTTTGTCTGGCTTTATCAGTTTTAACGCCATCCTGCCACACAGACAAACTCTTTTTAAAGAAAAAGACTTCTCTCCAAACGGTATCAATATCAAGTCTCCAAGAAGGAAGAAACATAAAGTAGAAATTTTTCTTTTCAATTCTAGCCAGCGCTATTATTTCTGCTACTTTGTAACGTGTTAAACTATTCAGGCGGAAGGACTTTCGCTTTCAGCTTTCTTCTTCTCAAGCCTCAGCCAGTCGCCATTTTAAACTTTTTTTCCTTCGCTTTTAAGATCGCTTATAAAATTGTTAGAAATACTTGCGATTTAGGGTCCAGAATCCGGATTTCATCCTGTTTGTTTAAACAATCTGTTGATTTTCTTTAAATAGATTGGTCCCATCGCCTGGCTCTGCAAGAAGCAGAGTTCCCTCGAAGCCCGGAGCAGCGGCGAGCTGTATAGGGAGCCACATTCTGCTTCCTCCCCAAGAGTAATAAAAAACTCTGGGAACTTCGCAGAGGGCTCTACCTGTCCTCGCTGGCTCTATCTCACATCTCAAGGAGATGGAGTTTTCTGAGCCGTCTCTCAGCTGTTGCTCTTTACAGGCAACGAGGCTGGCGGTCCCGAAAGACCGTCTGGCAACGACGGAAGTCAAACCGGAAGCCTATTTAATGTACATTTTTGATGATATTATTGTAATGGCTGCCAGGGCCATAGATACCTGCTTTATCCTACCATATCTAATAGAATACAAAACAGAAGGATGGCCATCACTGAATGAATTTGCATCCACAAAAAAAAAAACCCAATCTGGCCCTGGCCATCCAAAATCATGTTACTGTGAACCCTAGCTTCCTTAGACTTGGGCTTCCCATATTAAAATAGAAGCACATACGGATTGTGACTGCTGCTGTTTTGAAATTTAATTTCTGTTTCCCATACCCTGTTACCTTGTTTCATAGAATTCAC